GGAACACAGCCTATCGCCCAACTGTGGAGACTGAGAGCTGGGAACAGAACCCAGGTCCTCTGCAAGAGCAGCCAGTGCTCTTCGCGTTGCGCCATGTCTCCAGCACCTATGAATATTTTCTTAATTATTTAATTATTTAAACAGATTTTCATCTTGTTTTTTCACTCTGTAGCACCTTTTCCACTGTTCTATTTTGTTTGTTGAGACAGGGTCTTACTATATGTAGCCCTGGACGACCAGGCTGGTCTTGAATTCACAGAGATCCACCTGCCTCTGCCTCCCGAGTACTGGGACTAAGCCTCAGCATGGGCCTTCAGGTTCAATGGGCACTGCAGCTTCCATGGGAGGGTCCAACCAGGCACCACCCAGGACCCATGTGGGATGTGGGCTGCTGTGTGCTCAGTGCCCCATCCATGTCAGCCCCAGGACATCTTACTAGCTCAGAACACAAGCCCAATTCTCCCAGGACCTGGCCCCAACTTTGCCCACAGCCTTACTCTCGGTCAGACACATTGGGGTTCTTCCCCAAGCCTTGGGGGCCTTTGCACAGACTGCTCCCTTGGCCCAGTGCTCTTCCCAGCCTCCCTGAAGATATCTACCTGCAAGGCTATCCCATCTCCTAATGCCTACAACCTCCTGACCCCCAGGAAAAACCCTTACACCTGCCAGAACATGGAGACTTCTAGGCCCCAACACTCAGGTTGTGAAAGCTGCAATTCCTAGGCTTAGCCTTAAACTACAGGGGATGCAACACCAGCCCTCTGTGCCAGCAGGGCTGTCTATTCTCCTGGGGAGGAACAGGAGGCCCCACTTCTTCCTATCTGATCAAGGCCCAGTGCTCTTAGGCACCTAATACAGCTGCATACTCACACAGGGAAAACAAATGAGAAAGGGAGAGGGAAATGTCACCACCAACCACACCCCAAGACACCATGCACATCAATCAGACCAGCAAACAGCAGCCAGACATCTGCACACACTGACCTCTCACAGCAGGCTCTGACTCCACCTCCCCAAGCAACTGGAAGTCCCCAGCAACTGTCTCAAAACCCAACTAGACTTCCAGGCCAGGAGCAGCCCACTGCTGTAGCCGAGAAACTACCCCCCTATGGACCAGCCGCTAGAGTTCAGGAGCAGTGGGACGTGCACAGCCTCCACCCCATCTGTTCAACAGCTGAATCTGCATAGGTCAGACCCTCAACATGTTTGGCACCCCAATAACAGTCCTCAAGACTCTCTCCTGGAGCCCATGTCCAAGACAACTCTCCCTACAGCTATGCCACCACCAGACCTACCTGGTCCGTGGTGACCCACCCAGTCTGGGGTTCCACCACAAGCCCTAACAGCACCTCACAAATGATTGTGTAAACCCAGCTGTGAGCCTAAGTGGAGGTGCAGGCCCAGACTCTCCAGGAGGCTGAGGCAGATGGAGTGCAGGTTCCAGGTCAGATTGAGCTACACAGTGAGACCCTTTCTCAAAACAAAAAAGACTCAGAGCCTGGGGTTAAGAAAAAGCCTGGGAGGGCTGAAGAGATGATTCTGTGGTTAAGCGCACTGGCTGTTCTTCCAAAGGACCTATGTTCCATTCCCAGCACCCACATGGCAGCTAACAACTGTCTGTAACTCCAGTTCCAGGGGATCCAACACCCTCTTCTGACCTCCGAGGCCACTGCACGACACAGGTGCACTTACACACATGCAGGCAAAACTCTCCTACACATAAAATAAAAATAAATAAACAAGGAAAAGCTATGGGATACTGAGGAAGAGAGGCCACAGGTAACACAGGGAAGGGACAAGGAGGACAGCACTGGGGGCTGGCACTGCATGTCCCACCGTGGGCCTATCCTAGACACCCACCCCCACCCCAAGGCAGGTCCTTTCCTTTTTCTCAGAGCCTTGGTGGCAGAGGATGTGGGACCTGAGAGCTCAGGAGAGTTGAGAAGGGAGCTTGGAGTTGAGAAGGATGGGGGCAGATCCGACAATGAAGATGACAGCAGACAGGTGGGACAGGGACAGAAAAGCCAGAAACCAGAGAGACAGACACCTTCAAGGCAGAGACCCAGGGAAAGAGACAGTGGAGAAAGCTGTTAAGTCCAAAGCAGACGCAAAGAGGACTGGGGAGGGTGAGTGGAGGAATGGGGACAGAGAGTGGGACAGAAAGCTGACAGGCTGGGGGCAGGGGAGCCGGTGAAGAGGCAAAGGAGACTTTCCTCTATAAACATCCAGGGCTCCTCTCAAAATCCTTCACAGTTTCCCATTACCTTTCAGATTTTTTAATTCCTTGCCTTAAATTTACCTCCTCTTTCCGGCCAACCCAATCAAAGAAATAGAGGCCCTAGTGGATTACATAACTTGCCCCCAAGGGCAACTGAGGCTAAATCTGTAACCACAATATGAGTTTCCCAAGGGGATAGCAGAATGTGAGTGTAAACGCAATTCTGGGTACAGAGGGAAGTTATACAAAGACAAGAGCCAGCAACCCTGGGAGAGGATGGTGAGACAGGAGTCAGACCTGCTGCGGGAACAATCCTGCAAGACCTAGAGTGAACTGGCTGCAGGTAACAGGCCTGAAGGCTTCCAAGATCAGAGAAGAGCCTGACGGCAGCTCTGGCCTGAAAGAGAGGGAAGGGCGCTGTGCGAGGACGTGAGTAAGCCTTGATTTGTGCGATGCCGCCACCTTGTGGTCTTATTTTGGAACTGCACCTTCTTCAAAGGACGTAAACATTTGCCATACTACCATTCCCCATATACTGAACACATTTTAATACTAAACAAAACAAATAATAATGAGCATAAAAGAAGCAGAAGTCAAAAAAACTTAGTGTCTTAACTATTTTATGTAATAGTGTATATCATTAACCCAATAACAAGTGAATTTTAATAAAACAAATTATTTGCAAATCGTACAATTTCTGGAGCCACTACATCATACCATTGAGATATTTTTTCCTTTATTAAAATTTTAAAATTTATTTTTATTTTGTGTCTGAGTGTTTTGTCCACACATATATAAGGGCACCATATAGTGCACTGCCCTCGGAGGCCATAAGAAAGCATCAGATCCTCTATAACTAGAATTACAGTTAGCTGCCACATAGGTGCTGGGAACTAAATCTGAGTCCTTTGCAAAAGCAGCCAGTGTTCTTAACCACTGAGCCATCTCTCCAACCCCACAATGCTTACATTTTAATATTATTTATACATTCTGTGATACACCTTGTGTGTGAACTAATGCATGCACTTCCCAATGAAAACGTATATCTATTTCATTATTTTCAAGGCATTGCTGTGGAATTTTTTGCTTTAGTTTGGTTTGGACTTTTTGTCTGTCTGGGTGTTCATTATGTAGCCCAGGCTGGCCTAGAACTTGTGGTCCCCCTGCCTCAACTCCCTAAATGTTAAGATGACAGGCATGTGCCACCACACATAGTTTGTTTTAAATTTTAAATATAAAAAAGGGAAGGGTTAGAGATTAACCAACCCTCTTAACCATTAAGAGTACTTATTACTCTTCCAGAGCAACCTAGTTTGACTCCCAGCATCCATGATGAGGAACTCACAAGCACCTGTTACTTTGGCTCCAGAGGGTCCGACACCCTCTTCTGGCCTCTGTGAGTACTCACATCCACATGCACATACACACACATACACAAACACATACACATGAGAATAAAAATTAAAACCAATCTTTAGAAAAATTCTTTTGAATCTCCAAGTTGCCATACAGAATGATGAAACTGAACTAATTCAAGTTCCTGAACTTTATCTTACCAATTAAGATGGACCTGATTGTCTGTTTTGAATCTAACTATAGGAAAACTCAGTCTGGGAAGGATTGAAGAGCCTCAACCATTTCCAAATCTTTATTTCTCAGAAAACAATAGCCCAACACTGAGCCAATGAGGGTATGGCATTGCCTAGAGCATTTAATGAACTTCCCTGAAAAATATAAAATTCATTAAAGGATAAGTAATAAAATTACTAGTTTAGGCTTACATGTAAATTAAAACTAAACAGTAAATAGTGAAATCAAATAAGTTCTGTACCAGAACTTACAGTATTGTCACGGTATTAATTTTCTGATTTGACAACGTACTTATGTGTCACCAAGGTTTGGGGCTCCTTCCCACACAAGTCCTTCTCCCATAGCCCCATAAAACCATGACAGGTTTTCCGGAGCTCCTGGTTTCCTGCCACAGAAAAATACACTTAGGTTTGCCTTCCCAGAATCCATAGCAAATCTTCTACTTCTCATTGGCTCTGAATTTGACACATGCCCTCCCCTGAACCAGTCACTTTGGCCAAAGGAGCCAGGGTGGAGCCGATCCCAGATGAGGGAATATGTTGAAGCACCAGAATCCTGGCTCCATTCCACCCTACCTGTTGGGTTCTGCCCTCGAACACCCTAATATCCCTGGTGGGGTAACTGAGGCAGCAACTCTGGGGACTTCTGAGAGGGGCTGACGTCGCACTTGGGGTATCAAGTGATAAATTGTGACCACAGCTGTGACTGTCTGGGCCCAGGGAGGAAGATGGAAGCAGAGTTGAGTGGAAGGCTGGGTATCAGGACCACGTAAGGAGGCTTTGCAAACCTGTTCCAGGTGGCTGGTGCTGGAGCGGAGCATCAGTAAAAACCACTCCCGGTGATCTTGGTGTGTGCAACTCTCATGAACATGCCCAAGCCCTTGGCATGCAATCCATTCAAGGAAGCTGAGACCCAGCAGTACACATGGCCGTTGGCATTCACATCCACCTCGCCTCCCTTTCCCACTCTGCCCCAGACCTCATTCACCTGGAGATACTCCTACTGCAGGGAAGTGAAAAAGCAGACCCTGTCTTCTGTGGAGTCACTATAGGGCATGACCTACACAGGAAATTACTCAGACTTTTCTCACCAGGTCCTTCCAATGGACCCCTTCTCCAGGCTCCTGGCTTCAGCCAGTAAAAGATTAAGACACTCAAGCAGAAAGAAGTAGAGTTTATTCCAATTATTGATGTTGGCCACAGGAGGGCTCCTAGGCTCCCAGTCAGAATCAGGAGGAAGCCAAGACCCTGGGAGCGCACACCCCCTCAACCCAGAGTCCCAGTGGATGCTAAGAGGGACCAAAATGCAAAAGCTCTACCTTCACCATCCCCAGTCAATGAGGACAGGAGAACCACGTAGAGCATTTGAGACAGTTGTGGGCCTGAGGCTTCAGGTACCCCTGACCACAGCCCATCCTAAAGCAGGACTGAGGGCAGAGGAAGAAATGTTTGTATGGAGTCCACAAGCTCAGTGGGGCTGGGACTCAGCCACATGCAGCCTCAACCTCCTGTCCGCACTGTGAGGGCCCCTCAGCCCTGCTTGCCAGGCTGTAGTAATAGGTCCGCATGCGCTGTTCCACCGACAGGAAGTCGGGACGGTCTTCCCACCTGTAGGGATAGGGAGACCCAGAACCAAACTTCAGCCAGAAGGCAGAAAGGATTGGAGGATGGGGAGCTGGGGTAGACTTTCAAGGGTCAGAGAAGCAGGGGCTGTTGAGTGAGGGAGAATTGTCTCCCGGGTGTGAGAGCACTAGAATTGAGGGGTTACCCACCTTTAAAACAAGTAGAGCTGCTGCTGCCTTAGCAACTCAGGGTGAGTTGCCTGGGAGAATGCAGGAAACTGCATTGGCAGTTAGAGTGACAACTACTGTCCACAGGGAGCTGGAATACTGAATGTAGCCTTACCAGATATGCGAGGAGAGGCCAAGATGTATGTAAGCCAGAAGTGGGCTTAATGGGGTCAGATATGTGGCTCAGAATGGAGGTTAGAGCCCAAGAGATGGGTTTGACCTGTGGAGACTGGACAGTTGGTGGTACTATGATGGCATATGCTAGGTGTTAGCCTCTGGGTACTGATCTTCAGTGTATTGGGTGTTTCCTAAAGGAGGCTAAATTAACATAAGTTGGAATAGGATAGACAGACCCGTTCCTGTCTGTTGGTTGGACTTTTTCAAAGTCAAGGTCAGGTTGGTTCATGCAGTATCAAATGTGGAATGGGGTAATGGCTTGTTTGGGTCTTGTTACAGTTGTGTGATGGAGGTTGGGTGCTCGGGGATTGAGATTCACCAAGACAGAGTCACAGGAGTTGGGTATGCTTAGTGTTTGTCCTGCAGTGGTAGCCTCTCTGAGGGAGTAGATGGTTAGTGTTGGGTGATATGGACTGAGGATTAAACACTGGAGAATCATCCCAGGCTTAGATTTCAGGTGACATGTTAGGTGATAGTACTGTAGAATCCATGTGCTGGGAGGTGAGTAGTGGGGGACTGAGTTTTAGATGCTAGAACCCAGGGACCAGAGCCAGGGCCATGGCAGCATTGCAGGGGCCAGTGGGGGGGGCAGTCAAGCAAGATGGATTCAAGGTAGAGTGCTGGAAAGGCTGTGATGGGTGCAGATCTTTGAATAGAGTTACAATGACATTCATTGGGCACAAGGACCTCCTGCCAGGGGACTCAAGGGTTGTCTGACAAGGTCCCTTCCCATCTCCAGCACTCACTTGTAGATCCAGCAGTCGCTCATGAGTGCATACATCTCAGGCGGACACTCTGGCGGGCATTCCATCCGCTTGCCCTGCTTGATGAAGTCCAGGACCTCAGGGCCCTTCATCTTCTGCTCAGGCCAGGGCCAAAGGCACATGTGAGTAACCAGGACCCTCACACTGGCCCCTCCTTCTCCAGCCACCGCTGCCTGCCTCCACCCACGCCTACCTTGTAGGGCTTCTGGCCATAGGAGAAGGCCTCCCACATGGTGACCCCAAAGCTCCAGACATCACTGCGGCTGGAGAACTTGCGGAAGTTGATGCATTCAGGCGCATACCACTTCAGAGGCCACTTCCCTGCAGAGCGGGCCTGGGAAGGAGCAATGATGCTAGGACAGAGCTCAGGGACCCTGGGTCCACTAGCCACCTCCACCTGGATGCCACTGGAACAGGGCTCACCGTGTAGTAGCTGTCATCCGCACCCAGAGCCTTGGACAGACCAAAGTCGCTGATCTTGGCATAGTGCCGGTTGACCAGCAGGACATTTCGGGCTGCCAGGTCTCGGTGGACAAAGTTCTTCTCCTCTAAGTACTTCATCCCCATAGACACCTGGTGCAGCAGCTCTGCCACGTTGCTGACAGGGATTTCCTCCCTGGGGTGGAGGGGAAGGAAAGATCAACCTATTTCCCAGGGAGCAAAACCCAGGGGTCTCTGACCCACCACCTGAGCACCACCCATCCATCAGAGTACCACAATGACTTGTTGACTTCTTGCAACTTGTTGACTGCTGTATGCCAGGCATGGGGCAGGGGACCCAGCTGGGAATAAAACAGGTTAAACATCTGCTTTCATCCAGTCTAGGTGCTATAGGTATCACTCGCAGGCCCTGATAAAGCTTATACCTCTGCCCGTACCCTGGATGTGCCCTGAAGATGATTTCTGGACACCTCAAAGCTAAACCAGACCAATCACCTTTAACGCAGGCTCACACGTGTGAGCACCCACAGCCAACTCCATGACCCCATCTTCTCCAGCAGCTGCATCTTACCGCTCTGCTTCCAGCAACTCACAACCAGCTTGTCAGCAAACACTGGCAGCCTGGCCTTCGGCATTATTCTAAAATCTTCTTCTTCCCATGCCTGCCTCAGCCACCCTGATCCAGACCCCATCATTCCTGTACCAAAACAGTAGGCTTTGTCCAGGCTTTAGTGCTTGCTGCTTCCCAGAGCTTTGTCTTTCCTACACCCGAGTTGGGGTCCCAACCCTCAGTTCACAACCTCCTGGTGCATAGGGTAAAAGTTCAAGTTCCCATGGCCCACAAGGCCCTTCTCTGTGCCAATATCAGCTCCCTCCCCTGCTCTTCCACCATACCAGGCTCTGCCCTCCCGGGACCTTTGGACAGGCTGCGCCCTCTGCCTCATGCTCTGCCCCATCCGTGCTTAGCATTCTCCCTCAGCTTGTTCAAACCTCATTTGCATCTGATACTGTCAGCCTCCTTGGCCTGCTCAATTCTTTTTTCCATAGAATGCATAATTATTTATGACCTCTCTTCTCCAACCAGAAAACAGGAAGTTTTTATGTCTCTTCAAGTGCTTATAATAGTTCCTGTCACAGAAAAACTGCCCAGCAGATACCTGGCCAATGGCCACATGTGTGTCCTAAGCACACTGTAAAGGCATGTGCAGCCATAACAGCATGGATTAGTGGAGTTTGAGTTTGGGATCTCAGGGAACACAAGTGAAGCCACACAACTTTCCAAAAAAGTCAACTCATAAATATTTTAGCCTTTGCCAGTCACCTGTGGACTCTGTCACATAGTCTTTGTTTTCTTTCTTTTGTTTGTCTGTCTGTCTGTCTGTCTGTTGAGACAGGATCTCCCTGTAGCGCCAGTAGTCTGGAACTCACTTTGTAGACCAGGCTGACCTCGATCTCACCCCTCCGGAGTGCTGGAACTGAAGGTGTGTGCTACCGTGCCAGCCTCTTGTTCTCTTTTATAACCATTTGAAAACACGAAACCAGAGGACTAGGGGAGGATAGCTTAGTTGGGAAAGTACTCCCCCAGCATGTACAAATTCCTGGGTTCCATCCCCTATACTCCATAAAAACCAGGCATAGTGGCACATACCTGTATTCCCAGCACTCAGGAGGTGGAGGCAGGAAGATCAATAGTTCAAGGTCATCCTCAGCTACATAATGAGTTCAAGACTAGCATAGGCTACCAGAGACCCTATCTCAAAAGCAAGTAAATTAGAAGGAGGAGGGGAGGAGGAGGGGGAGGAGGAGGAGGAGGGGAGAAGGAGGAGGGGAAGAAGAAGGAGGAGGAGGAAGAGGAAGAGAAGGAGGAGGGGGAGGAAGAGAAGAAGGAGGGGGAGGAGGAGGAGGAGGGGAGAAGGAGGAGGGGAAGAAGAAGGAGGAGGAGGAAGAGGAAGAGAAGGAGGAGGGGGAGGAAGAGAAGAAGGAGGGGGAGGAGGAGGAGGAGGGGAGAAGGAGGAGGGGAAGAAGAAGGAGGAGGAGGAGGAAGAGAAGGAGGAGGAGGAGGAAGAGGAGGAGGAGGAGGAGAAGGAACAAAGTGGCAGTACAAAGCAAACCATGTACTGCAGTTTGCTGGCCCTATTTTAGGTCATAGGGACCACCACAGTTTCCCCATGCAGCAAGAGTATGGCTCAGAGAATCTGGACAGCAGTAAGGTTGCCGGTATGTCAAAAGCTCCTACTAGCAGTGCCAGATGCTATCTAAGCACTTTACAAGCATCAGCTCATTAAATGCCCACAGGAGCCCCCAACACAGAGCCCATTACCACGTGGGGAAACTGTGGGTCAGCAGCTCTATTTTGCAGTACAAGTAGAGTGTGAGGGTCTGCATAGGGCAGGCATGAGTGTGTCCGTGAAGGAGTAGAGATCAGAATGAGACCATGGATGGTGTGCACCTTCCATCAGATGAGGGTCGGGGTGCACTCTTCCCCCAGTGGCCCAGCCCCCAACCACATGTATGTCCAGCCACATACACTCACTTCTTTCCAATCAAGAACTTGTGCAGGGGACCACCACCTGCCATCTCCATGACCAACATGAGTGCCTCAGCCTGGCACACGCCGATGAGCCGCACGATGTAGGGGTTGTCCAGCTGGTGCATGATCTGGGCCTCGCGCATCATCTCATCCTTATCAGCTTTCTCCGTGCTCTGCTTCAGCACCTTGATGGCCACATCAATCTGCTTCCTGCCCAGGTGCATGGTTGGTGACACACGTGAAACAGCATGAACTGGGCACATGTCCTCCTCTCCTAGCTCTCTTCTCCCCTGTGTTGCATGATGGGCCCTCTGGCTCTCTGCTCACATCAGAACCAATGCACCTGATCCCCGGCTGCCTGGAACTACCTCAGCCAAAGGAGTAGCCTTTATGCCACAGCCTGTCAACACAGGGGAACAAGGGCAGCCCCCTGCAGCTCCCTGTGTCTGATCCCTATGCTGTAACAACAGCTTAGCCAAATCCTCCCTGGCATAGGCCAGTGTTTCCCTCTCAGGTGTTCCCAAGCTTCCCAGAATGTCACATCCCCTCCCAGAGTCTACTTCTCAGACAGGCTGTCATGAGACACATACCCCGGCTCCCACTGTTCCCCCCCAATGATGCCCCCACCACAGCAGGAGTGTTCATACTTGCGCATTCGGTAAACTCCCTGACGCACTGAACCGAAGTTGCCGCAGCCAAGTTCAATATCAGCCACAATGAGGTTCTCACGCTTCAAGAAGAGCTTCTTGTCCTTGAGCTCCTCAGGGTCGCTGTAGGGGCTCTCATACACACTGGTGTCCATGGGCATCGGCCGTGGCTTGTCTGGGGATGCTAGGCGCGCTGGGCACACAGCCATACACTCCCAGGTCAGGGGCAGGGCCAGGGGCAGGGACAGGAGGGGGTAGGGTAGTGGAGAGGCCAGGGGAAGCTCAGCACCAGACACATACCATAGGCCATGATGTGCCCCCTCCCAACAGAGCATGCACAGTGCATGGACATGCATGGTGTTCACGTGTAAGATATAAACATGTGTATGTCAGATGTCTTCCTCTATCATGCTCCACCTTGTGTTTTGAGATAGGGCCTCTCACTAAACTTGGAGGCTGCCAGTTTGACTAGGCTGACTGGCCAGTGAGCCCAAGTGGCTCTCCTGCTCCTCACCCCCAGAGCTGGGATTATAGGTGTACCACCACACCCAGCTTCTACATGCATTCTAGGAATTTGAGCTCAGGTCCTCATGCTTGTATGCAAGCTCTTTACTGACTGAGTCATCTCCCTAGCCTATGTTCCTGTGTATATTCACATGTGCATATTAGCATCCACTCCTGTTCACATCTGCAAGTGGCTCTAGAGGTATGTATCCACATGTCACCATATGTATGCTCAGTGAGCCTACCTGTCAGTGTATGCACCTCACATTTGGGTGGCCTCTGATGATGAGCAGCCATGTACACATGTGGACATTAACCATGTGAGTACCTGCTTGAGGACATCCTAAGTACATGGGCTCTGGAACCCATCTACCCAGTTTCAAATCTCAGCTCTGTCAATGACTAGCTGCATGACTTCACAGAGCTGCCTGTCTTCCCCTTCCAGCCTGTCCAACGAGCAAAGTCACCATGACTGCCTCATATGGCCTGTCAGGGGATTCGATGATCTCACATCTACAGGGACCTGGGCATGCAACCTGTACCCAGTAGGTGCTCTACAGATGTGTGTCTGTACATGGGAGACTCAGGGTGTCCTGTACATGTACTATACCATGTGTCAGTACACACTACCATATACAGACACATGGGCAGGCATGATTGGTGTAGGCATGGTTGTGCATGAGGCAGACCCTATCAACGGCTTCAGGCCTGGTCTCATCCTCCTCTGCCAAATCCCAAAGTCCAGCCAGAGACCCTGCTTTCAGCTGGGCATGAGCCCACCCACACCTCTACCTCTGCCAGCTCACCTGGTTCCGGGGTATATCCATCTGAGTTCAGGGTGTCGACTCGTCTCTGAGGCTAAAGTCACAAGGTCAGCAGCAGTCAGTCAGATGCAGTCCCCTCATGAGACCCATGCAGCTGGGGACTCCCCAGGGACAGTCCTGGGAGAGATCCTCTTCCTCTCCATAGGAACCTTTTTTCCATCCCAGCCTCCCTGGGGGCCATCTACCCCATCCCAAGTCCTCAACACTGAGATGCTACTGGCTCACCTGGGTGAATGTAGATGGGTGGGCTGGAAGAGTGGGTGCAGCAGCCGCTGGGGAACAGAAGAAATAGTGAGGGTAGGAGACAGGCCTGTGGCCTCCCTGCCTGCCCCTACCCGACCTCCAACTGACTCACCTGCAGGACTGGCACTGCTGTTGGGACACGCATCCTTCAGGCAGTAGATGAGCCCATCTGCCTTCAGCTTTAGGTACTCCACCAGCTGTGGGGAGGGGCATCAGATGGGGCCTCCTCGCCATCCCAGGAACTGAGCACCCCACCACAGTGTCTCCTCAAAGCGAGGACCATGCTGGCCTACCTGCCAGAGTGTGTCAAACTTAGTGCCCTCAGGAATGCAGAACTTGCCCGCCTTGTCCTGGCTGATGAGGTAGTGGTACACGGTCTTCCCATAGATCAGGGACAGTGCATAGGTGCCCTGCTCCTTTCTGGGCCTCAGCCTGGAAGAAGAGGGATGGGTGTCACCCTACAGCCACAGGGGGGCTTTTCTGTGCCTTAGTTCTCTATCTACACACACACACACACACACACACACACACACACACACACACACACACACACACTGTGGGCTCCACACCCAGAGCTTCATGAAGAAGGAATAGGAATGGGGAGACCAAGGTCAGGTGTCACCAGACTTCCATACCTTATGGTGAGCCATAGGGTGAAAGGCAGAGAGGGCAGTGCTGGGTGTGCAGGAAACACACATGTACAGGAAACACAGCTGTTCAAAGGCAGACATGAACCCTTTCCTAGAGGAATTCTTTTCACTCACAGTGGATACTCAGCCAAGGGAGTGGGTCACCTGTCCATAGGAACTGCCTGCTCCTCAACAGCTGCCCATGGTAAGATACTTGCTAGCCACTGGAATAGAGTCATCCTCAGGAGTACCCAGTCCTCAGGGGTACACTCAGCAATGGACTTGGCTGTCCATGGAAGGATACAGGGACCCACCATCTCTGTGTATATTTACACAGAAAAGTCACACCCACCATCCCAATGTATACACTATGCCCACCATCTCCGTGTACACACACACACCATGCCCACCATTCCCATGTACACACACACCATGCTCACCATCCTCATGTACACACACACCATGCTCACCATCCTCATGTACACACACACCATGCCCACCATCCCCGTGTACACACACATAGTATGCCCACCATCCCTGTGTACATACACACCATGCCCACCATCCCTCTGTACACACACAGTCTGTCACAATCTATGTCACCCTGATCAAGTTGCTTATCTTTTCTATGCCTCAGTTTTCCCACATGTAAAATGTAAGAACACTAAATTAGAATTCTTTAATTTGATAAGGGCTCCATGGATGAAATTCAGGATTGCTACCATCTTGTCTGTCTTCAGTGTGCTTGGAGTGTTATAGTTTGAATCTGAAAAGTTCTCCTCCCAAAACTCACATGTTAAAGACTTTGTCCCCAGCCTATAACTCTTTTGAGAGGTGATGGAACTTTAAGAGATGTGGTCTAATAGGAAGGCTTTAAGTCACTGTGGGTGTGTCCTTGAAGAGGGTAATGGAAACTCACCCATTCCTCTTTCTCTGTATATGCCCCTGGGTATGAAGTGAGCAGCTTTGTACTACCACACACTTCTATCATGATGATGTGTTGCCCTGACATAGGCTCAAAGCAATGAGGCCAATGGACTGTAGACTGCAACCTCTAAAACTCTAAGCCAAAACAAACGTTTTCTCTTGATAAATGTATTTACCTCAGGTATTTTGTCACAGTAACAGATTCTAGGGAGTCTGTAATCCAGCTGTGACTTAGACAAGTACAGACCCATGTTTACCCACATCGTGCAAAAGCTGACATTGATGTAGTCTTGTGCATGCTACTGCTGCTCTGGGGACAGGTGCTGAAGTAATTTACAGGCCAGATCAAGGGAATTGCTTCAACATTCTACTAAGGCCTCTACCTCACTCAATAGGGCCACACCCTTGCACTCATAGCCTCCCACCCTCCCCATCACTAATGGCTCCAGGTCTACTGGCCTCCTTAATGGTTTTCCAACATTCCAAGTAAATCCCTGCCTCCAGATCTTGGCACTTGCCAAGAACGCCTTGCATCTGAGAGCTGTGAAATTCCCTTCTATGTTGTTTTGTTTGTTTTTTTTAGTACTGGGAATTGAGCCAAGGGCCCCTGGCATACTAAGGCTAGGGCTTAACTATGACCTACCCCCAACCCTTTTGAAATCCCCTCTCACCTCCTTTGTTTCTTTAATCTGAAACTGCCTTCTCAGGAACCCTCCTCTGGCCATCTAATCCAGCATCCCAGGCCCTCCTCACCCACACACAGTACTCACCACCATCTGACACAGCCTGTGTTTTAATAACTTCCTGCCTCATGACCCCAAGTGCGTCTGTCTGGCTCATATCATTTCCCAGCAGGAATTCAGTAAGTATTGGTCGAATAAAGAAGAAACTAAGGCAGGCAGAAATCTATCTAACTGCCCAAGGCTCACAACCAGCAGGTGGCAAAAGCTGGGCTCAACCCTAGTGGGCCAACTTTGGAGTCTTTCCGACTCTGCAGGGACTTTAACTTATGAAAAATCTCTCAGCACATGTACGCACAGCCACATTCACTTTCCAATTTCCATTCGCTTTACACCTACACACTCAAGTCTGCCCACCTGACTCCCAGTATCCCAGCCAGCAAGCCCCAGCCCTCACCACACAAAACCTCAGTTCCCACATACAGGAACTTGCCGTCAGTCTGTGCGCCTGAGTAGAGTTTGCGCTCCGCCTCCTCGCGTGTCAGGCTGCTGTGGTACCAGGGCATCCGCTCGTGGGCCGTGGTGGCGATGAGTTTCTCCACCTGTGGAGCCTGGCTGATGATAGCCTGCTCCAGGGCATCTCCCTGGAGAAACAGAAGTGGGAGAAGTTGAGTGTTGTAGGCATGGCCCAATGCATGACCACAAGAACCTGCTTCTAGAATCTTCTGGACAGAGGTCACACGTCCCATAAGATGCACCCACCCTAAGAACCCCTACAGTGCGTCTGTCTGCAGGCTTTAGGGGGCACCTTCGGTCATCCCCAAGGTTTCGTTCCCAATCCACTCAAAGGAGGAACCGAGGCCAGGCCACGCCTTCTAGGTCAGATCCAAGAGCATCAATTTCAATATCCTGTGCAATCGCTCTGTCTGATAAGATGCAGACTGAGCTACAGCCCACAGTACCCATCGGCCACCAGCCCACCACGTGCATGGTCCTCTCTGGCCTGTCCCCAGGCAAAGCCTCTGGCCCCTTCATGTCCACAGGGCACTTCCATCTTTTATCTGGCATAGATGGTCGAGTCTCACAGCAGCATCACTCAGACTGTGCAAGACCAGCTGCCAACAAGGGCACCAAGCCCTAGCCTCCAAGTCCTCCATCCAGTAATGGCCCCAACCTGGGGTCCCAACCCCTTTTGCTTCCAAATTCAGTGTCTCCGAGGACCTTGCGAGCCAGCAAGACCTCTGCTCTATCATCCCACCCGAACCCCTCCCGCTTGGGTACCGCCATCCTCTACAGGCCCCGCCCCTGGGGCGGTGTTCTCACCTCCAGCTTCCACGTCTGGCGCACATAGTCGCGCACCATGGCGTCGCGCAGGCAGTCGAAGACCCCGGGCTGCGGCTCGAGACCCGGCGGCCGGTTGCATGGCTTGCGCAGATTGCAGGGCAGCCCGTCAGGGTCTTGCGAGTAGAACTGGCAGAGCTCGGCGGGGCCGCAGTGCGCCTTCCCGCCCGCGATGGCGTAAGTGCCATTGAGCTGGCGTTCGATGGGGAAGTGGTGGAAGCGCACGTCGTGCACCAGCGACAGCACATAGCCGCCCAGCGAGCGCAGGCACTGGCGCAGTAGGAACAGCCCGTCGGCCATGCCTGCCAGCTTCAGATGCTCCTCGGCCTCCGCACGCGAGATGCTGCCGTAGAAGAAGGGCAGGTGCGCCGCGGGGTCTGGCATGGCCGCCGCCCAGACCTGGCCGCTGCGCCCCTCGCCGAGCCCTGTGGATGCAAAAGGCATTGCACAGCGGTCAAGACCGGCGGTCCTTCCCGAACCCGGACGGTCAAGCCCAAGACAGCCAGCATGGGGGAGCGGGGGAGCCTTCTAGCCACCCGAAGCCTGTCTGACGACAGAGAAGAGGTAGAGCGTCTGTTTTAAACTGGGGTCACTTCTGGAGAGGAGCATTCATAGAGGACTGGGCATAGATCAAAATCTTAAACCTACTTCTAACTTTTTAGAGGCCTATGCCAACACACCCTACTGTCCCTTTGCAACAGTGCCTGAACCGTCTATTCATTTCCCAAACTTGTTGCATTCTTGCTGTATTTCAGGCCTGGAGCTGAGGATATATATGGATAAAATACTGTCACGACCTACCCTCCTGAGTGCTACACAATGGGGAGAAGGAGGTGTGTGTGTGAGACAAAGGACCAAGCATAACCATTGCAGACTGAGGTCAGGAATATAAAGTGATGTCAGGGACCAGAGAAATGGGTCAGTGGTTAAGAGCACTGGTTGCTTTTTCAGAGGACCTGGGTTCAGTCCCAGGACCCACATGGTAGCTAACAAATACCCATAACTTCAGTTCCAGGGGATCTGATGTCCTCCTCTGGTTTCTGTGGGCTTTGCATGCACATAGTGCACCTACTTAGATGCAGGCAAAACATTCATACACATAAAATAAATACAAATTTTTAAAAGAGTGATGTCAGAGAGAAAAGAGGTCACTCTAGCTAGAATGGCCACTTCCTCTGAGGAGAAAGCCTTTGAGACTAGATCAAAAGGATGACCAGGAGCCAGGATCTCAAAAAACATGAGGGGAGAGCATCAAGCAGATCAAGGCCAAAGCAAGAGCTTTGAAGCCAGAAGAAGCAGCTCATCAAAGAACCTGACCCCAGCCTTCCCTCCCTTCCACAGAGGGTGCCCTCCACCTCAGCAACTCTCCCTGCCCTGCCTTTCTACCTTCCTGGACCAGTTTCTACAAAACATGAGCTAATCTGAGTATCCATCCATAGAGGATTGGCTAAATACATCAGGATTCAACTCTAATGTTAACTCTGATGCAGCCATTAAACAAAACAAGGGAAGGAAACACGCATGGTGGCTTATGCCTGTAATTCCAGAATTTGGGAGGCTGAAGTAGGCAGGCCAGATCATCATGAATTCAAGGTCAGCCTAGGATGGATAAGTGGATGAATGGGATGGGTGGATGAATGGATAGATGGATGAATAGATAGGTAGGTCGATGATTGATGATCGATAAACAGATGATAGATGATAGATAGATAGATAGATAGATAGATAGATAGATAGATAGATAGATGATAGAGAGATAATCTAGATAGATAGATAGATAGATAGATAGATAGATAGATAGATAGATAGATAGATAGATAGATAGATAGATAGATAGATAGATAGATAGATAGATAGATAGATAGATAGATAGATAGATAGATAGATAGATAGATAGATAGATAGATAGATAGATAGATAGATAGATAGATAGATAGATAGATAGATAGATAGATAGATAGATAGATAGATAGATAGATAGATAGATAGATAGATAGATGATAGAGAGATAATCTGTTAAAGCAAATGACTTAAAATTGCCTATCCTACATCCTCTGGAGTGACACTGGTGTCCTATCTGGGTGGTTGTTAGCCACCATGCAAGTGCTGAAAACCAAACCTGGGTCTTCTGCAAGAGCAGTCAGTGCTTTTAACCCCTGAGCCATCTCTCCAGCCCCATATACAGAATGCTTAGGTTGTGATAGGCACTGATGACTGTCAGTCACTTTGAAAAGCATCTCAACTATGACACTGCTAATAGAGAGGATGATTAAGTAATCAATTCTTGTTATATACAGTAGTTCTAGAAAATCTGCAAACATGAAATTAGTGAATTTGAACAGTTGCTCCTAGAGAAATATAGGCTTAGACTCTCTGATCACAAC